TGGTGATGACGACGATGATGGTGATGATGACGATGATGGTTATGATGGCGGCCATGATGTTGATGCTGATGATGATGATGATAATGATGATGACAATGATGATGATGACGATGATGATGATGACGATGAGGATGATAGGAGGGGAGAGGAGGCGGAGGAGGAGAGGAGGAAGGAGACGCGGGGCACCGTCTCTTCAAAACGAGGACCCAACACCACAGGATGGTTGGGAACAAGGGATTTGCTACATTTCTGAAATTCGGCGGCACCCCTCACGCAGATCGGCAGGGTCAGGGTCTAAAAACACACTGGATTTGCTACATTTCTGAAATTCGGCGGCACCCCTCACACAAATCGGCGGGGTCACGGTGCAAAAACACATGGGATGTGCCACATGTCTGAAATTCGGCGGCACCCCTCACGCAGATCGGCAGGGTCAGGGTCCAAAAACACACGGGATTTGCCACATTTCTGAAATTCCGTGGCACCCCTCACGCAGATCGGCAGGGTCAGAGACCAAAAACACACGAGATTTGCCACATTTCTGACATTCAGCGGCACCCCTCACGCAGATCCGTAGGGTCAGGGTCCAAAAACACACGGGATTTGCCACATTTCTAATTCGGTGGCACACGTGACGCAGATCCGTAGGGTCATGATCGAAAAGCAAACAGGTCCGGACACTGCTTCACGGCGGCGCCCAGACCTCATGATTTAGCTTTTGTATCTCCCATTATCCGAGACAGGAGGCCGGCGGCATGGGGCGAAACCCGCAAGGATAGATCACATGTCTGGGCTTGCTCCTCCTCCAGCAGACGAGTGACGTCACGACAGCGAGAGCCACGTTGGGTTTCAAACTAATCGAATTCTACACGGCGTAGCGAGCAGGTGGCTGCGCCAGGCGAGCGCCCGCAGGGAAATGCACCGAGCGGGTGGGCACTATACGCACGCACAAAACCACACAAACACGTGCAAACAAACAGACACGGACACGGACACAAGCACTGACGGGGACCGACAGAGCCAGAAACAACGAGAGAGGGAGAGAGAGGGGAGGAAAAAGAGAGAGGGGGAGAGAACAACAATGAAAAACGAGGCGGGTGAACGGAAAGAAAGAGATCGTTGCACTTGTTCGCGCTAACCCAGATTATCCGGTGGGGGGAGGAAGGTGCCCGCCGATAACCTAATCTTTTCGCTTTATTCAACCCCACGTACGCCCGCGCGCACTGGTCCTGCGTACGCCCTTCGGAATTGCGCAACCGACAAAGTCAAGGTTATCGGGGGGACGGGGGGAGTCGGGCGGGCCCGATCACCTGGGTTATCGCCCGACCCCTTTCAAAGGAATATCAAGGAGGAGGGGGGGGCAGACGAGACGGGGCACCAGAGACCAGGGGGACTGGGAGGCGGAGGCACCGAGAGACGGACATGGGCACGGACAGGGGAAATAGAGGGGCTGATGGGCAGGGTGGCAGAAGCGGCGGAGGCGAGGCGTCGAGGGTGCCCTCATGGAATCGATGTCGGCCATGTCGGCACTCTTGGAGTCGCTGAGCGCCTCCGTGGGGGGGGGCGCACGGGGGTATTCGGCGAGAACGGGCCCCCGCTGTCAGTTCTCTCGCCCACCCCTCCCGAACTCAAGGTGCAGATCCTGGCCGGTCCCACCCCACACCCCACACCCCACCCCACCCCACCCAACCCAACCCGAGCCTTCACCCTCCCCCCCCACCCTCCAAAGACAAAGCCGCCGTATCCTCGTTTTGATCTCCCCCCCTCCTCCTTATGCTCCTCCTCCTCCTCCTCCTCCTCCTCCTCCTCCTCCTCCTTCTCCTCCTCCTCCGCCTCCGCCTGCGCTACCGCCTCCTCCTCCACGTCCTCCCCCTCCTCGTCCTCATCACAACCATCCCTTTCCATCAGTTTACCCGAGATGCGCCAACGTGGACCCCAAAGATTGGGTTATTATCTTGTGCACGATATATATATATATATATACATACATACATACATATACATACATATACATATATACATATATACATCTGCAAATATACATATACATGTACAGATACACATACAACTACATATACATATACATATACAGCAACATGTACATAAACATATTCATGGACATAGACCTGAACATATACATATACATATACACATGCATAAACATGTTATAGATAAACCTATATAAACACGTATATACATGTATACATACATACCTAAAAAACAATACGGTACAATTAAACATTGTTCGCAATAAGTTGTCAACTCCACTGCTCGCGCAACCATCCCACCCACCTACCCGCAAGTTGGTTTGCAAAACCCATGCGGCGGCGATTGTGATGAGTGCTTAGCGTTGGCTGGTGCATCCCTGCGGCCGCGCTGGCCCGCACATGCCCGCGCGCGAAGCGGCCATGTAGTGTGGCACGACAGACGCGGCCGCAGTGGCTTTGACCGCTGGACACTTCCCAGCGGGCATTTCAATGCGAATCGGCGACTTGGGCCGGCGCGGTATCCAGGCAACGTCGACAACGACAGACACGATGCTGGTAGCGATGCTGGTGACGATGATGACAACGACAAAGGCAAGGCCAGTGACAGCGCCGATGTTGATCACGCCGACGAGGATGACGGCATGCTCGCGTCGGTGATGAAGGCGTTGGAAGGAGTTCCGCATGCGCGCGCGGCCGACGCGCGGGTGACCCGCCTGGAATTACTTAACACGGATCGTCCCCCCCCTAATCACGCGCGCAAAGCCGTTCGAATAATTTCGACATGCTGCGCGAGAGGCCCGCTTGGCCGAAGTGATTGAAACTGTGGGAGGGGGAAGGACCAAAAAAACTTGATAATTCGCAAGAGCGCGAGCGCAGGCATGTTTGAAAACTGATGCTGCAAAACAAAACTGTGTGTTTAAAATTATGGTCCGTACAATCGGTGTTGTATTAAAGTCCTGTATATAAACAAAAATGTGAATCCGAACAACGACGCTCGCGCGCGTGCATTTCGCCCCATGTTTTACAAGGGAATATTGCGACAGCATACGCGCGAGGGCGTTCGAGCGATTTCGCCATACGCGCGCGAAAGGCGCGCGTGTTAACATGTGATAAACATGTTGAAACCCCGATGGGTTTCTTCAGAATCTGCAAGAGCGCGGGCGCAGGATGTGTTTGAAAATCACATAGCGAAACCATGTGTTCGATCGGAGGTTGGGGGGGAGATCGCAGAGGGACGGAGACCCCCAACGGGGAAATCGTTTCGTTTCGTTCGTGTCGTACGTGCGGGCGGGGCGAAGCTGCGTGGGCGCGCGAGAGGAATGAACCCGCCGTTGTTAGGGCGAAATCAAGACAAATGATTATCCCTCTCCCGCCCGCCCGTCCAGTGGTGGCTCGCGGTGCCCCGCGGTGTCCTGTGGTGTCCTGTGGTGTCCCGTGGTGTCCGCCGCTGCAAGGGCGAAATCAAGACACATGACTATCCCCCGCCCGCCCGTCCGTCCGTCCGTCCAGCGGCGTCTCGCGGTGTCCCGCGGTGTCCCGTGGTGTCCACTGGTGTCCCGGTGTCTTATGGTGCCCCGTTGAGTGATACCGTTAGTGCGATCGATAATGAGATCGATAGTGTGATCGATAGTGTGATCGATGGTGAAATCGATAATGGGATCGATTGTGAGATCGATTGTGAGATCGACGTGGTGCCCCGAAGTGCCCCGTGGTGTCCAAAAAAATGAGATCGACAATGAGATTGATAGTGAGATCGACCAGTGTCCCGTGGTGTCCCGTGGTGTCCCGTTGACTGAGATCGATAATGAGATCGACCGTGAGATCGATACTGAGATCGATATGATGCCCCGAGGTGTCCTGTGGTGTCCCGCGGTGTATCAAAATATGAAATCGATAGTGAGATCGATAGTGAATTCGACAGGTGCCCCATGGTGTCCAGTGGTGTCCCGTTGAATGAGATCGATACTGAAATCGACAGTGAGAATGATAGTGAGATCGATGTGGTGTCCCGAGGTGTCCCGCGGTGTCCCGTGGTGTCCTATGGTGTCCCGTTGAATGAGATCGATAGTGAGATGTGTAGTGGGACCGATAGTGAGATCGACAGGTGTCCCGCGGAGTCCCAGGGTGTCCCGCGGTGGCCCACGGTGTCCCGTGGCGTCCCGTGGTGTCCCGTTGAGCGAGATCGATAGTGAGATCGATAGTGAGATCAACAAGTGTCCCGTGGTGTCCCGTGGTGTCCCGCGGTGTCCCGCGGTGTCCCGCGGTGTCCCGTGGTGTCCCGTGGTGTCCCGTTGAATGAGATCGATAGTGAGATCGATTGAACCAGACGCCGGTTCCCCCCCCTCCCCCCCACGACCTCCTTTTCACCCGAAGGGTGGTCGTATAGGTATAAGTATTCAGAACACTCGATTTTCTAATCTTGACGGGACCGCACGCGCGCGCGACGACGCGCGCACGTGCACTTCGCCCATCTGTTGCAATGATTTCTTGGAGGAGAAGACGCTGTTTTGGTAAGCGAACGCGAGCGCGAGCAAGTTTCCCCTGAGGACGACGGGGGGATTACCTGTTTAGCTGGGCTAATATGAGGTCAGATTCTGGGGTGCACGATGGGACAAAATCAAATGCAAACGGCAATACGGAAAGGGGGCCCGTTAAGTCATGGGGGGGGCTAGATCCAAGTACTCTTTTACAAATGAAGACATACGTGTCGCAATCTAGGTCGTGCACAATGTTGTTCAATAGATTGTTCAATCTACGCGGGGCAACATATGTTGTGCACCTATGTGGTGCGATGCGCGGTGCACTATGCGCGGTGCAATCTACGTTGTGCCACATCCGCTGCACAATCTATGGCGCGCAGCAAGTGCGCCGCAACCTACGCAGCGCGACCTCGAAAATGATCACTACTGGAACGCCAATTCCACTGATCACGAAATCACCACCCACCCACCCGCAACTTGGTTTGCAAAAACCACGCGGCGACGATTGCCGCGACTGCACGGCGCCGGCTGGCGCGTCGCTGCGGCCGCGCGAACGCGCGAAGGCGCGACTGGCGCGGCCGCGGTGGCGCTGGCTGCTGGGGAACTCCCCTGCGCGTCTCGCAGGCCGCGCTGACGCACGGGCACTTCTGTGCGAATCGGTGACCTGGGCGGGCGCGGCATCACGGCGACGTCGACGCGGGCAGACAGGGCGATGATAATAGCGACGTTGGCGACGAAGATGACGACGACGACGGCGAGGCCACCGACGGCGCCAATGCTGATCGCGCCGACGACGCCGATGGCACCAACGCGTCGGCGATGAACGCCACGGAAAGATTTCAACGCCCGAGCGCGAGTGGCCGGCGCGGCATTGTTTGACAGGGGTCGCGCCCCCCCCTCCGCCGCCCGCCCCCGGCGAGCGCGCGCGGCAGTTCGAATGAATTTGACGCGCGCGCGCGAGAGGCCTGCATGATCGCATCCGATGAACACGCTGGACCAGATGCGCACGGCGCTCGCCAGAATTCGCAGGGGCGCGCGCCAAAGATCTTGCGCGGCAGATCGCGCTGTAAAACCATGGGTCGTTCTTCTATGCGTTCGAGAAACTTGAAAGTGAAGCCACTGCGGAACCCAAGGCTCGCGCGCGGCTGCTGCATCACGAGTTGCGAAGGGTTCTTGGGAACTGAAAATGCTTGATAAACGAGCGCGCGCGAGTAGTTATTTGATGCAGATGACGGGGGGGGCGATATGAGGTCTAGCGGGGACGGCATGAATTCTTATCTAGAACTAACGATGGAACAATTTCACATGGAAGTTGCTCTACCCCAAGCGGCAAGAAAGCCAGGGGGGAAGGCGGGTCCTAATTGATTTGGGCGGTAGATATGCGGCACAAGGAATTTAGGAAAGCTCGCAATAGGCAGCTCAACAGCTCGGGCAATCATTCAACCGATCCCCCCCCCAACTTAGCTAGCAAAACCCACGCGGCGGCGATTGCGCTGAATCCTCGGCGCCAGCCGGCGCATCGCCGCGGCCGCGCAAGCCCGCGAGCACCGCGCACGCCACGCGCGCAGCGGCCAGCTTGTTTGGCGCGACCGACGCGGCCACGGTGGTGCTGACCACCGGGGAACTCCCCGGCGCGTCTCGCAGAACGCGCCGACGCACGGGCACTCCAGTGCAAGTCGGTGACTTGGGAGGGCGCAGTATCGCGGCGACGTCGCCAACGGTAGACACGATGATGATGGCGAGGATGACGGCGACGATGATAACGATGACGAAAGCAAGCCCTGCGACGCGCCGATGCTGATCACGCCGATGACGATGATGGCGTCGTCACGCCGGCGATGAAAATGTTGGAACGACTTCGCGACGACCGCGCGAGCGGCTCGCGCGGCATCACAACAAGGATCATGCCTCCCCAGCAATCGCGCGGGGGCGTTCGAATGATTTCGGCACGCGCGCGCGAGGCCCGCATGGTCGAATTTGATGAAAAGCATGACAAACATTAGTCTTTCGCTCGCAAGGGTTCGCAGTTGCGCGCGCAAAACCTTGTTCCAGAAACTGACGTTGCAAAACACTGCGCTCTT